CGCTCTTTCCACTTAAATTAGTAACAATTGTATCCACTTCGAGCATGAACGACCATACCCATTCTGAGCAATAACTGAATCCATTAGGAACGACCATACCCGTCCTGAGCAGTAACTGAATCCATTATGAACGACCATACCCGTTCTGAGCAATAAATGAAACCATTAGGAACGACCAAGAAAGATGTTGGCTTCTTTGCGGGGTAGGACTATGGCTGATTCACTAGGATTTTGCACGTTACTTGTATATTATGAATTATGCTGGCAAATGATCCATAAAACTTCAGATAAAAGGGATGTAGGGAAGAGGATAGTCGATGCAAACACGAATTTCGGGAGTGAAAATGGCGAAGAATGAAAGCTTTAATGAAAGACAACTTCAGATTGAGTTTGAATTTCATGGTTAAATCTTTCTAATTATATTTCTATGAATATTTTTCGCACGAAACGAGAATGAATAGTTGTTTATTTCGAACAGGTTTTCTAGACAGGTTCATCTCATTCAACCCCTCTTTCGTATTCACGTAATCATATCGTTTCGGTTCTGTTACGTAAACAGGCACGTGAATGTTTATTAAAAAATATGTTAACGTGACGTCCACAACAGATGACGATCCTACCGCGAATATATTCTAAATTTTGTGTGTTTATCCGAAATGACACGTGCCATTTTCTCTACTCCCTATACTTACACACACATAAATTATAATAGGAAAGCTTCAAGATCGTTTAGTGCATCACTAGGACGATCTTGAAGCGTTAAGTGTTATCCATAATCCATTGTACCCATCGTGGCCCAGTGGATACAACTACTAAACACGAACAACGGAACAACCGCGTGGTTTCTGGATGTTCTTCACGTGTCTAACACCCGAATAGAGTCCAGTTTATCATAGAATGCCCTCCCTTGGCACACCGTTCACGTGTTTCCTTGCCGTATCCCACCAAATCAAACCAACAATAACAAGAACACTAGATCCTTCAGAGGTTCATCACTGAAAGCAGATGGGTTCTAGTGATGCTTCTAATGATTTTAATTAGAATTTCATTAAAATTGTAGGAAGAAAGGTTCGAAATTATCTAGTGATGCATTCATTGAGTGAAACACTAGACCTTTGACGTGCAATACTAGAAGTAGAGCTACTTAAGTGATCAAATGGTGCAATTAGATTTTTATTATCACTCCACCCAGTAAAAATAGCGCTTAATCAATGATTACTTTACTATGTTTACACATTACCGGACAGACAAACAGATTCATTGTTAATATATATCTCTTTCATTACCAGACACAGGAAAGAAGCAAACGTAAACACACACGTCCACAGCATCATCTTTTATTAATTATCACGCGGTGTTCAAGCATCAATCATCATAAACACAGACCTAACGCTACCTGATTTTTGCATCTAAAACACGGGCAAGAACTCGATTAACCGGTTTTAAATACAATCCGCGAGATAATTCCACGGTAAACATTTAAAATCTCGAATTAAATCCCTCCACCCTCTCCCTCGACGGGGTGACATTTTTGCGCCTTAAAGGAACCGTTAATAGAAAATCACCTAACTTAATTAAGAAAGCGCACGGTTAAACGGGGGTGGGGGGCGTTGACGTGTGGTTCAAATTACACTGGCAGCTGCGAGACAGGGCGCGCATTGTCTCGAAAATAGCCGCGAGATGAGAACAAACTCCGTACAAGGGTCATTGCCATAAGCTGGGTAATTACAATTACCAGCTGTTACGAGTATGTGGGAATCATAATTATGACGTAGAAAAGTTTTGTGGGGCGCAATGCATTGTTGGTAAAAGCGATATAGTTGTAAGACGAATCTAAGAATCTGCGGTGTTACGCTTCATTTGCAATGCGTTGCGTCACGTTGCTCGTTACCCTCCGTTTGCCACGGCTTGCAGCTTTTGTAACTATGGGATGGAATTTGATAAGAAGGCAATTAAACAATTTTTTTTTTATACACTTTATTATAATTAACTATCTAATTTTTCTTATTTTAATTAAAGTTTTAATGAGAAATGCTAATTTTTTAAAACTGTTACGCAGAACAAGTCGAGTAACTATTGTATACGCAAAGACGAATTAAGTTTGGGGTGATGTTGAGAAATATCTCATGGTGATTCTGGAGACGTTCTGTTCATCTGAAGAATTTTGTTCGTTTTTTAATATAAAATTGCAATTGTTTCCCTTGGAAATCTACTATTCTCGCCTAGAAATCGAGAATTCCTTCTCTAAGAGCACTATTCTCCCCTAAAACTCCAGAATTCCTTCTATAAGAGCATTATTCTCCCCTAAAACTCCAGAATTCCTTCTATAAGAGCACTATTATCCCCTACAAATCCAGAATTCCCTGTATAATAGCACTATTCTCTACTATAAATCGAGAATTCCCTCCTATAAGAGCACTATTCTTCCCTAGAAATCGAACATTTCCTTCTATAAAATCATTATTCTTCCCTAGAAGTCGAATTTCTCCCCTAATCGAATGTTTCCTCTTATAAAATCACTATATTCTCTTCTAGAAATCGATATTTCAGCTTATAAAACCACCATTCTCTTCTATAAAAACGCTATTCTCCCCTAGAAACCGAATATTTCCTCCTATCAGATCATTATTCTACCCTAGATGATGAATATTCCTTACTAGAAAAAAAACCAAGTTTCTCCCTTACAAATTAAATACCTTATCAAACAATAATCACCACTCCCTCTCCTGGAACTCAAATATTCCTTCTAGAAAAACCACAGTTGTCTAGAACATTTAAAGGGGGGAAAAAAAGATAATTCCTCTTACAAATCGACCATTTTCTTCTAGAAAATCGCGTTCGTGAGATTTCTAGAAGACACACACACGCGGACACGATTTCCAAATTCGTCGCGCGCTTTTATAAAAACAGTGTTTAATCAAGTAATCGCGAGGAACGTGTGCGCATTATACACGCGAACACCTCACCCATTCGTAAGCAAGGCCAAACAATAGGCGTTTGAATGTGTGGTAGGCCTAATCTGTGGGCTAATAATGGATGGGTTCGTTTTTTTTTTTTTTTTGGAGCGTTACCAAGCCCCACTCACACACTAATTACAATTAAGCTATTCACGCGCCGTTTTGTTAACAGCGCGCGCTCCAATACGGCGCTAATTATCTCGCCAGCGTTAAATCCATTGTTACGCAACACGTAAACCTCACACACACAAGAACTTTTGACTTATCTAATGTAAAAAAATTTATAAAAATCGCCGCATCGTCTAATGGAAAGAGGTATCGAATACGTCATAAAACACGCATTACGAGACGAAATGCCACTTTTTTAAGTTCCTCTCCCCCCCTTCCCGACGAACCGGAAATGGAGTGACATCTTGCGGCGAAAACTCGTGGAGATTTTTTTTTTTTAAATTTCGATTTATTTAAAAAAAAATGTCGACCGCTGCAGACATCTGTTACTGCGAAACGTAAATGTAACAACATTAATAATTCAAACAAGTCGTCGAGGAACATCCTTTTTTCGTATTTCTAAATTGCTTAAACGATTTTAGTAAAGTTCAATAATTTAAAAATGCGTATCCAATTTAGGAAACGAACGTTTTAAAGTCATATTCCTGGCCGGACATTATCAAGGACGGGAGATTTCTTTTTTTTATTTATTTTTAAAACAGCAATTGAACCTTACGGCTGACTGACCTGAAGCAGTCAATGACAGTAGATTGACCCTCTTTTCTTCTTATTTTTATTTTTTATTTTTTACCAGTCACTGTATACACGTACTTTACGTGTGAATGAACTTTCCAAGAAAGGCATTGAAGTACTAAAGATTTAATACGTAACTTTTTAAAATGGCTTTCCAGAACGAAGTTCTGTTTACTTTGGAATTACTTTTGATAAATACAAACGCTGGCATATCGTTACTTAAACAAAACAAAGCCATTTATCTACTTTACCAGATAAGAATGATACAACAATGACAGAAGTCGACGATCGCTTCTTTGTTGTTTGCATTGTGTTTACGTGCGTTTAACACACACAAGAACCTGTATAAATTTAATCACGTGCCTTATGAGGACTCGTAAAAACCCACAGCAACTAGGTCCCCCGCTATATATATGATCAGATAATTTTTAGGTTAAACTATTGTCACGTTTCTTAGCGTGGCCTCAAAATGGCGGTTACTGTATTTTAAGAGAAAGTAAGACTTGATACCGTTTTTTCTTTTATTAAGTTCACAGCGATCTTTTAATACAATTTTTCACGTAACGTTTGCGTTACGTAAACGCAGACCTCTGTTGTAGGATATCACGTCTGTTTATGGTTGCGGTGTGATTTTTCAAGGACTTTACCCGTCAAAATGACGGATGTAAATGCATGGAGATTGTCAGAATAGTGCAATGAAGGTAAGAAGCGAACGTTTCCCCTCCGGTTATTTAGTTTAAACAGCACGTTTGAATCAATATCGGTGCCTTATCTATCGCTACGTTCGCACCATCCTTCAACACCTACACCATTAATTATCCAGTTAAGCACCTTTAAAACTCGCATATTTTGGAAAAACCGATATGTATCTTATCGGGGACGGGGGGAAAAGAAAAAAAATTATTCAGTTTTGCGTAATAGAGGTAGTCCTTAACGACCACAACATAACAGTCGATGGCTGCGATAAAAGAAACATGTTGGGTTTCTTGGACTTGGCAAGAATCTAAAAATCGATATCAGATGTTTACTTTAAGTTGTTGCTTCGATATTGAATTTCCTTGTGTTAAAAGCGAAATTCTTTAATGTACCAGAACGAATTATATCCTACGCAACACGTTTTTTTAAAACGTTTTACGTACGATGGCCATCTGTTTTCGTGTGTTTATAAACAATGGGCATCCGTTGTCCCCAACCTTGAATAGGCCAGATTAGTAGGAAGGGAAGTGCACGAACTCTGGCAGACCTTGAGAGAAGATGTGATGGTTATATTTAGTATACACGAAAACCATCCGTTAGCGTTACCTGCTATCACTATTCTCTTTCCATACACCCCCATAATTTTGGTATCTTCTGCAAGGTCGTTCCACATTTTAAAGCGGAATGATACGCATCTTGCCAAGTCGGTAACTCGGCATCTAGCTTTTGGAAAAAAAAATTACAATTATCAAGAAATTACACGCGAAATTTAATGAAAAATTCGCGTGCCCGTCTACAAGCATTTTCCATAAATTGCATAGGGGTAGGTAGATTTTTATGTAGGTGGAAGGAACAGTTAGTTAACCACCGGTCATTCTTTTTTATATCTAATTACTCAAAAGACCGGTTCTTTTAGTGTGTTTAAGATTGATTAGGATCTTGTGCAGTTATACCAGGATTTAGTACGTTCGAACTAGGCTCTAGAGTACAAGTTACAGACGTTTATAGAGCTGTAGGAGCAGTTAATGTTACAGCCTTTCGTGAGAGCGTGCAGTGTTCTTTTGTAGATCTTTAGAGAATTGTGACCAATTCGTTCCTTTTAAAGGTGTGACCCGGCTCCAGAAGAGCAATAATTCTGTCTTTTAGGTCTAAGAGATAGATTAACATGCTCTTTATTAACATTTCTCCCCCGATAAAATACGGTATCCATCAGCTCCTTAATGACACCCTTTAACTGGTTTTAACCATTGGCATCCTCTATAAACCCCTTAAAAATCTATAGATGGAGAGATTAAGGTAGAGAATAATTGAAAAAAAATGATGCCACGGCGCCGTGTAATCAGTTAAGTTAAAGAACGAATCGATTTCGACCAATCGTTTTGAAACTTACATAGGCGCCATTACGTGTGTGAACGTTCGGTCGCCATTTTGCGAGAAAATTCCTCGAGATTTTCCATTTAGAATTAACTAGAAATTTTACAGTTAGCGAGAAGCAGACAATCGATTCTAGTTATACGTCTATCGGTGCCAGTAAATGCCCGAAAGGTTGTGCAAGGTGACGACTCCGTTGTGTTAATGCGGTTGTGTTTGGACGTCTGCCACCAACTTGTCTTCCAGAAATTCATCGAAGAAAAGGGTGGCAAACGATTACCGGACTGGCTAAACTTGTTGCACCAAACCCTAATTTAAAACACAGGCGAATTTAAATACGATACTGTAACGTAATCACGGAGAGGGAAGGGGGGGGGAAGAAGGAGAAAAAAATAGATGCCAGCCCGTTATCTAAATTCGTCGACGATGGTGGACAGAAAAGAACGGCACATGCCGAAACCAGCTGCAAAGGCGGAAGTGACGTCACCGACCAGCTGTGCACCCGTTGCTACAGTAACGGCTCTACCTTGAAATCGTTTCTATAGCAACGGGGATGGTACTGGATACCGATTTGATGACAACATGGCGATTCGCGAAGAGAGATGAAACCCGCCGATCGATCGTAAAATCGCTATAAATTATTAATAAATTCTGCGCTTTCCTCCCTTCTTTTATTTTTTTGTTATTTCGGAGAAGGGAACGTGGATTTCTCGATAATTACACGTGAATCAGCCATTGTTTCCTCCCGAAACGGATGCTGTTGCGTTCTGTCTGTCCATCGACCCCGGGGCCGTGTGACAAATGCCAAGCGACACTATATCCGTCGTTGAGATATGCCACAGGAACGTTGCCTCCTGGCGCGCATCCGCATTTTTAAGGAGCGTTGCCAAGGAAGTGGGCACAATACGCGCTTGAAAACACCCGCGTGTGTGTGTGTGTGTGTTTTTTTTAAGGTACTTAGACGAATGGAAGCGGCCATCGAGAGGATCGTGCTAATCTTCTTCGGCGATCGACACGTGATCGGTAGAATGAAAACAACTCGGATTGGCACACATCCAAGTGAACTCTTCTCGCTGGGGTAAAGCGGACGTGACGTCACGCAAGACACATGATGGGACGGATAGCATCAAGTTCATGACCCGCAGCCTGGAAGATGATTGGTTACGCCGGGGCGGTTATTGTAGACGGCATCCGATTAAAAAAAAACAAATACAACAACAACAAAACGCTCGTTGTAATCGTTATATACACTAGTTTAAAAATAATGGGATAGTTTAATTAAAGAAACACTAACATTTCTTAATATACATTACATTTTAAAGACTTCCTTTTATTTGTCTTTTGTGTTGAACTCCCAGAAAAGACCGTATCAGATTGTGATTTAGATATCAATGACACAAGCTGAAACTTCCTTTTCTTTTTCTGTTCTACTTAATTGTAATTAATGACTCTAATAATATAATATATAATATAATAAATTCCTAATTAATTAATAAAATTTTACAACAAAAAAAAACGAACACCTAGTGATTAGAGATAAAAGGAAGAGGGACTTTTCTACTGCGGATTGTGGCTTATCTTATTTATTTATTTCTTTTTGGATATACCAAACGATGAGTTATCTGTTTGAATTGTTTCCAAATTTAATTATAATTTTAGCTATGGATTTCTGTACTAAATACGAACACACGACAAAAGAACAGCTGCAGTGTGTTCCAACAGTCCCACATGGAGGACACCGACGGGACCATTTACGACTGCTGATCTCTCCTCTACCCCCCAATTGATACGAAAATGATAGATTTTTCACCATTTTTCAAAAGAAACTTGGCGCTTATTGATTTTATTCGTATATTTTTAGGACTGGCGGAGAGGAACAGACCCGCATTCGTGACTGACCCAAGCTTCATCGGATCCTAAAGTAGACGATGGGGTGGTCGAGATACGGTACCAGTTGTCGCTCCGGGGGGGACCAGTTGCCCAACTGGTCCCCCCCGGAGCGACAACTGGTACCAGGGTGGGCCAGATATGTCGAATACCCACCCTCATCATCATAGTGGAAACCTTTACCCACTTCTTACACCTATTTCAGGTAGTATATGAGTATGCATTTAGTAAAAATACACCAATAATACATATAAATTCTACTTAATGCCTTAACCAATCGGGGATGTAGAAAAATGCCCTTATAAGCCTTTATTTATTTAAAAGATGCTCTTAAACCAAGACTTTCTACATATCGTTAGATAGATCTTCCAACATTGTATATAGTAGACCCCCCCTATAACACGGTAGATAATTCCGTGTTATATGAATTCCATATTGTACGAGTCACTTACATTTTACAAATACACGTGCCAGGCTTGTGAACGGCTCACGTATTTGTAAAATCTAAGAGACTCGTACAATATGGAATTCATATAACACGGAATAATCTACCGTGTTATAGGGGGGTATACTTGTATAATACACTTGTTTTCTAAAATAATCAGGAGGACTTTCTGGCTGTTTTGTTCCTTTCTTTTTACAATTTGCCAGCCTCGTAATTACTTAAAAAAACAATTACTAATTCTATTCTATTGGTAAATTAATTCTTGTTTACATTTTTATCAAATAGCGGGGTTTAAATTTAAAAAAATACATATAATGAACAATTATTTTTCCTGTTTTCCTGTTTGATTCACTTCCGTAAACAGAGGACAGTTATGAAAATATATAGGCAGGATGTAATGTAACTGTAAATATTATTAAATTGCGCTTAGAAACCTCATTCTAGTTCCTTTAAACCATACTTATTTCATATTTAATTACACTTAACTTCGTAGAAAATGTAAAGCCTAAAGCTACCATTTTGGCTTATGAATTCATAATTTAAATATTAATTCTTTTTTAAATAAAAGATTATCCACGTTTTTTAAAAACACAGGTAAGCAGATAATCGCATCGGAGATTCTGACGCCATTCGAAATTTAAATCTAATTGGCTGTTTTTGAATCCGAACGAACCAATTACGACGTACCGTACTTGTTTTTAAATTGTAATTTATCATCTATCAGTTCGTTTGACTGCAATAATAGTAATAAAAAACGGTTGTTTTAATTCGTTGACAGTTTAATTGAGCTTAAATTGTAATTTGTGCGCGATATATCACATAAATTGAGGTTATTATTAAGGTATTTGATGGAATTTACTAAACTAAAATCAATATTTCGCTGACAAATGCTTCAGACAAGCAAAACACCTAGATTAAGAGGTATAGAAAAAAACAAATCCCTTAAATTAATTTGCAAATATTTAGATCATTTAAAGTTGTAGAACGGCTAAGAAACGTGTTATGATTAGTCAAGATAATAGGAAAACTTTGATCAGTTTAACCTCGTTTATATATGTTTAATTTCAGTATTCAGGTCAAGATGATAGTGGGATTGATAATGCTGATGATAAAATATACAGTGAAACGGAAACACTGTACGTTTAGATTATAAAATTATAATTATAGTCACATCATATCGCACTATTTCCCTTTCTCTTTCTAAAATATTACTCGGGGAAATGACGGCAAGCTGGTCTAGAAGTTAGTTAACCGCATTTTATATTGTAAAGGGTAAACTGGTGTTATATTAATAGTCAGGTTGCGGCTGAAGTTTTCATCGCGAAAACGTGTACGTCGGACGTTCAGCGCCGCCTTCCCGTAAACCTTAGAAGTTTGGAACGTCAGTAGAATCGTGCTCGACGTTCAAACTTCATTGTCAAACTTCTAGGCTTACAGGAAAGCCTAGAAGTTTGACAATGAAGTTTGAACGTCGAGCACGATTCCACTGACGTTCCAAACTTCTAGGCTTACAGAAAAGCCTAGAAGTTTGAGAATGAAGTTTGAACGTCGAGCACGATTCCACTGACGTTCCAAACTTCTAGGCTTACAGAAAAGCCTAGAAGTTTGACAATGAAGTTTGAACGTCGAGCACGATTCTACTGACGTTCCAAACTTCTAAGGCTTACGGGAAGGCGGCGCTGAACGTCCGACGTACACGTTTTCGCGATGAAAACTTCAGCCGCAACCTCTCTAATCTGTGAGCAATTAAAAGTCAGTTAAACGTGGTTATACAGTACATTTGTTATGCTTAAACTCGCTTCTTTTACCCCTTTTTTTCCCTTCAAAATATCCAATTATTTTGAACACTTCCCGAATAATCTCATACAAAATTTCGTTTCGTATCGCGAATTTTTTTTTTTTTTGTTCCAATAACGAATATTATCCGATTTTCACGCTGCTCTCAGGATTAGGATCAGGTGGCTTATTCCGAACGGCAAAAAAACTTTCTTTGTGCAGGAGGGACCCGCGTCGAATAACAATATTTCGGGCATTTTCGTTTGAAATTCTAAGAATTACCTTCTGTAAAGTTGGCATTCGTGAATTCTTCTTCGAGCTCGTCTTACAGAATAATCAGGCTTTCTATTGATCCTGTTTAAAGGAGGGGAGGGGATACTAAATCATCAAAAACATCTAAACTAAATCCGGGATAACTCGATAAAATTTCATATATGATAATATAAACGAGGGGAGGACGTTTTTTTTTCAATAGTAATAACAGAGAAAGAATTACGCTTGTCTGATTACATTTCGCTGCAGGTGGATGGACGACTGAAACTATTTAATTAAGAGCAAACAATGAAATAAGATAATTCTTGTTTCCATTACGATTTTTAATTTCGTAAGAAGGGAATTATTATTATTATTAAAATCATTTTTTTTCCCTTCAGTAGGGCATAATATGGGGTAAGTTGCATGTTGCACTTTCATTTACAGGCTGCTGCACATTCGACTATGGCGTGCAGCCAAGCGAAAAATGCAGATTATTTTGTGTGGTGTTGACACGTTACTATAGATTATTCCATTCTGGTATATCTGATGATTTATGTCATGATATTAATCAGTGGAAAGTTAGTTGAAACAGAATTATCGAATTTCTAGGTTGACGAAAGGCGATTAATTTCGAATACCGATACATTTATATATTTCATTTTTTAATTCTCTATTATTATTATTGGTTAAAGTTGTTCTAGTACAGTCGACCCCCCTATAACCCTTGATAATTCCGTTTTATATGAATTCCATGTTGTACGAGTTACTTAGATTTTACAAATACGTGTGCCGGGCTGTGAACGGCTCACGTATTTGTAAAATCTAAGTGACTCGTACAACATGGAATTCATATAAAACGGAAAAATCAACAGTGTTATGGGGGGTCGACTGGTAGTTTAATTGTAGAATGTATAAATGAATTGGTAGCCCACGACCCAGTAGCCTATAGCTAATGAGCTGTCCTCTAGGGTTATTGTAACCGCACAGGCAAACTATTTCATATAATTAACGATATAATAACCGCTTTAAAATGCTAAACAGTTAGATATCAACGTCCAGAGGCTATTTTATCCCGTAGGATGTGCCTTATCTCGCTGTGAAATTCGTATCATTAATTGCTTCTACGAAACGATTGTTTTCTGTGTATTTTCAGGGAAATCCATAAGAAATTTAACCAGATTTTATCTACGTACACACACATGTATAGAATATCAACAACAACATTTATACAACTGATCCATATATCCTCGGTTTGTGACTTTCTTATTTCTTTTAAACGTGTTATTGAAAAAAACCCCCATCGACCATTCCTAAAAACTGGTCCTTTTATTGTAGCGAGCGATCATTTTACTCGCGAAGATATTATATTAATGATAATAATAAGGCTATATAAATAAATTCAATCTAAAATTAAAAGGAAAAGAAAAAAAAAATGATGACTGCAGGAGGAGGGAGGACAAAAATCCCTTCTGTAACCACAGTTGCTATAGCGACGTATGACGCAAATGTCGAAATTGTGCTATAGATTTTAAACAACTTCGCTGACGCCCAAGAGTTTATGTAATAAGATAAATAGAGTTTCTACTAAATTTTCGGCCGTAATTTTTTTTTCATTTTACTTTTGATAAATTGTTAAATCTCTCTCTAAGATATACGCGAACAATTACTCTAAATCGGTATTTTCCCTTTACGAAAATTCCCTAATTTATTCTATCTTGGGATTTTCCCTATCGAAAAGAAACTCCCTAAGCTAGAACAAAGTTTAAAAACTGACTGTTTTCTCGGGGAAATTTCGCTTCGAACAGGGAAAAATCCCAAGAAAAGTCGGGGGATTTTCCCTAATGGAAGCGGAAAATTCCCCTCCTCAGGGAATTTTCCCTAAACCCGGAAATTCGAGTTTGGCAGTTGTTTTGAAATTAGATATCCCAGATTTAAAAAAAAGAGTAAACTTTATCACGTGCACTTTATCATACTTTTTTTCCCCTAAGCGGATTTAAATTTTCTTTAAAATTAATTAACGAAAAAAACAAAAAGAATATTTTTAGCTTGTTAAAAAAATAAAATTGTATCTAAAATTTTTGTAGGGATTTAAAAATAAGAAATTATTAAGTTAAAAAATGCGGGGTTTTTTCTTAGTTTTATCGGTTTAATATTAAAAGAGGAGTAAAGTTTAATCAATTCATGTTTTTTTTTTTAACTTGTAAATTGACGAATTCGGTAGACCGAGTAGGGAAATTTCCCGGAGAGCGAGGGAATTTTATTCTATAAAAACCCCCAAGTTAATTTTACATAGGCATATATTTAGAATTTCTTTGCATTTAGATGGAAAGTTTCATTCAAACTTGGACAAAGGAGAGTTTAATGCATTCATCAATTCTTTTTTTTATAGTTAATTTTTCCGAGTGTTATTATTAATGATTGCGTCCTTGAGCCGTACACCAGGAATACCTTTCAGAGAGTTGATTCAAGAGGGGGGAAGAACCGTTCTTTCTTTGGCCTTGGAAGTGCGCGATATACGAGACAACTGTACAAAATCTTTATTTATAGTCGCGGTTATCATCATAGCTCGCGCTTTTATCCCTCCCCGTTTGCCGTTATTCTCGAATAGTTTCTGTGTTCGGTTACTTCCGTTGGGCTTCCCAGCATGGGGCAGTTTCTCACAGTTTTACTTTCCAGGCTATAACCGAGGGAAGAGAAATGCAAAAAAAGTTGGGTTTTTTTCCCTATAC